TCTTTAATCTAAAAAAAAAAATGCAAATAAGCAGCTCACTGACTGTGTTTGTGTGCATGTATTTGTTTTCTGAAATCTCTAATGTTTATGATTGTTGGCGCCGTTATTAGTAGCAGAAAGCCATTGTCAGTCATGGTTACGGAGATGGTGCAGAGGGGCAGAATAATGGCAGTATTAGGAGTGAGGAGGAGGAGGAGAAGATGATGTAAGATGAAGAGGACAAGAAGCAGAAAAATGGAGCAGGAACCACCCAAAAAAACAAGTGTTCCCAGGTAGAGCTCCAACATGCAGGGCTGGAATGGTCGCAGTGCTGAATATAATACTGTTAATCTCTAGAGATCAAAGGATTGTAATCAAATCATTTGCTTTTTGAATACTAGTATTCATGTTAAAACTAGTGTTTTACTTGTGTCCTATCCATCGTGTGATTGGATAACGTTCTTGTAGGAACCACACCCCCTCCACCCAAGACTAGAACCCTTAGGGAAACACTGATTTATTATGCAGCTTGTTTGTTGTTTTTTTTAATAGATTTATGACCTACCGTTTGTTTTTTTATTCACATTTATTGTCTTTTTTGACCTGATGGATTTAGACTTATTTTAAAGTCTTTCTTTATACTCTGGTTTTTGGTCTCCTGGCTTGTCTCTGTGCCAGAGGTAAACGGCTTTGGGCGAATCATGCAATCAGACAGGTTAGACCAGAAGAAGTGACGCTGGCATTGAGTACACAGCAGAAAGTACAAAGATAGGAGTGTTGAGGCCTCTGGGGCGGCAGGGACTCATCGAACTGATCATTTAACAAAGCAACATTCAAAACGGTGTCAATGGTAGTTTTTACTAACATCAGACACCACTCTGGTTCAAACAATAGGAGTAATTAGCCTTCTGATTGGTAGTTTGGAAAAACAAGTTAACTTAGTTTTTTTATTTGTTACAAACATTTATTTCATTCTGACCTCTGAATTCTGCCACTACGTGTTTTATATGGTTGTTAAAACTAAACAAACGTAACATTTAAAAAAACTTGCTGTAAAGAAGAAGAATGTGTGTAGTCGGAGCAGAGGGAAGGACTGAACTGGAGAGGAAGTGGATGCATTCTCCAGCCCAGGCTCACCAAGAAAAGATGACTGTGGTGTGACTATTTACTCTTCTCTTTAGGCTTAGCTTAGTCTTGCCATTGCAGTCACACTGTTTTAAATGTTTGTGGCTCCTCACTCTATTATCAGATGTGTCTGAAAACATCTATGATCAGCAGTCGTTCACATGCATCTGTTCTACAGTAAACCACCCAGGCTTAGATTTAAGTAATCATGTGAGGGAGGCCAAAACCTGTCATACTATTTGGAAACAAGACTGCTGTTTGTAGTGGCAACCATATCTGACTCTGATGACCATCATAAGACGCATGGAAACCACAAATTCCAACATGTTTGGTTGGGATGTCTGTGATAAACCAGTATTGAACAATTCAACTTTACGTTATAAAGAGAAAGCTTGAAACTTATTTTTGTTTTGTATAAATACTTTGAATATATAATGTCAGTCCTTCAATGCTAATAAAACTAGATAAAATCTAGTGGAGATAATTGCATAGGGGTGAGTATTAGCATTGGGGTTGCGTTTCGATATGTGTAAAGATACTTGGGTTACAATATCACTATATACTGCGATATTTTCCCCAGCTATCAAATTTAATGTATGGATAAAAAAGAAGCAAGTTCTGTATATGTTGATTAGATGATCATTTGATTATTTTGGTATCCATGTTGTTTGGGGTTTGAGTCGGTCCACCTCCCCTCTGACTGCCTCAACTAAAGATATGTTGCTTCGCCGCACGGCTCCACAACTCTATCTGCCAGAGTGGCCGTGCAGAGGTTGCCCATTTGCCCCGTTTTAGGTAAAGATGCTTCGTTTTTTTTTTTGTTTTTTTTTAAGTCGATGCTAGGAACTGAAAGATTGATGTAGTATGATGCAGCCAAAATCACCATATATTTTGCCAAATTGATTTATTTTTTTTCCCCACACTTCTAAATCAGAAGTCATCTGTTTAATAAATACGGTCCATCTGTGTTTAATCATATATAGATGCAGATGGTAATGGAGTGCTTTTGGATTATTCAAGAACACATATTAGCATAAAGCATCACAAACACTAAGGAACACAGTGGAGGAACGTAGAGACTCCGGCAGGATTGTCGATGAAACTGTAAAGCTGTAAAGATCCTCAGCTCAGCTAGAAGGAGCCTAGCACTCCACAAGGCTTGTCTTAGTGGAAAAGTAGCCAGAAACTAGATATTCTTAAGAGATGCATTGAATATTGTTTATTTTTTAGGGAAGTAGGGAACACAGCAAACGAGTTAAGACTTAAGCCTGATTTATGCTCAGAGAACCAGGTGGTAGGTGACCCCAGACAGAGAGCGTCGCAGGGAGGAGAGAAAGGAGGCCTCTGATTGGTCAGTTCTACATCTGCTCTACACTATGCGTATTTCCTGTTTGGTACCTAATGGCAGAACCTCTGGCTGTAGTGCCATCCACCTCGGACACTATCCCAGACACCGTGCAGGACGCTAGTTTGTAGCTCTGTGCGACGGTCTGTTGGTTTGCACGCAGCGTCACGGCCAGTCTTTGGGGAACACTCACGGGTGAACTGTGAGGCGTCCGGCGTTGGATGAGGGGCTGTAGACGGCGAACAAGCTCTTCAAACCGACAGACAAGCACAATCCTAGCTAGTTTGTGGTTGTTCCTCTTGTCGTGGAATAACAGCGCAGAACACGCTTCAAAATTGGGTATAAATCAAAAATATCTGCATCATACCTGCGACAAGCTAACTGCGACACGCTGCTGCGGGAGGATAACCAGCCCTATAGACTCAGGAAGGTTCCCCTTCCTACAGGACATGGTCCTAAATATACAACCAGATTTGCAATAGGGAAAAAAAATGCTTCGTCATTATGTGCTACTTTTTTTTTTTTTTTTTCTGCCTGTTTCACAAACAGCAATGATGACGCACCAAGATTAGTGTTTGAAATTCAGAGGTGTGAAATAGTTCAGAAGGGGTTAATACTTTTAGCTTTGTCAGAAACAAACTAAACTGCAAGGTTGAAGCGTAGAGGAGCATCTGGTTGATCTAATCAGGCTCCACGGGATGATTTTAAGTATGGATATACAGCAGGACAGCTGTTTACATACCATGCTGAAAGCAGAGTTCTCAAACTTGATTGTATGAATGAAATAAATCCCATGCTTGCATTTATTCTGCCTAAAAGGTGTTATTTTATTAAAACAATCTCTGCGTGCTTCATTTGATAGCTTGGTGCTGCTTTACCTCCTGTTGATACATTCCAGGCTTGTGTTTCTGCACAGCTGTGAACACTTTGGCCTAATGTTTTGTTTTTTTCACTTCCTATCGGTGGTGTGTGCTACCGTAGAATGCTCATGTGGAAAGCTGCCCTGATATTTTGGCCTTCTCTGCAAACCTTATAAGATGGTTCCCCTGTTGTTGTTGTAGTCTCGTCTATTCTTTATTTTTCCAGTCTATTAAGAGTTGTTTTTGTTGGGAATCAGTGTTTTTAAAATAGAAAGGGAAGCATAGGACACTTTTGCACACTAGCTGCTTTAAAGTGTGTTTTTCAACATCTGGGTGGGTAATAATGGCTACTTTTAGGATTTTAGTTCCATGTATTTCTTAATTTTAAGTATTTTCTCTGCGTAGAGTTTTTGTTCACGTCTGTTTCTTTCCTTTGTCTCCAGGAGATGATTTTTCCATAATTCAGCAGGAAATCTTCATGGTGAAAGAATGCAAGCACCACAACATTGTGGCCTACTTTGGGAGCTACCTCTGGTAAGAGCCAACTGAAAATTACTCTTTTGTGTTTTTTATTTTTCAGGCCGTTTGGCTTCCTCCTAGTACGTCTATGATTAAACATTTTCCAAATTTAAATACCTCTGACTGAAAGTTTTTTTTGTTGTTGCTTTGACTAGCTGCAGCACTCGTGTCACAATGTGTATTCATTGACTTTGTCACACTAAAGCGTGAAACTATGACTCAAGGCTTTCAGCCTCGCTCCTTCGGTGCTGCTTTTATGTTTTACAGGGGTCTGTTTTTTTTTAAGCTTTTATCTTTGAGGAAGTAAACTTGGTCCGCCCAACAGTGTCTTAGAATTCCAGCAGGTTTAACTGGAATTGAAAGGCTCTGAACTGTTTTATATGGCTGTTAATGCAGAGACATGCAGGCCGTGGCGCAGCAGGTAGGTCTTGTGTTGTCCGGCTATAGAAAAGTCAGCTGAGAACAAAAATGAGCAGCATCAGCCCACAATGCAATAATTATTAGACACTAAAGAAACAACTGTTTTTATGGAATCATTATTCTTATGCTTGACATAATACTTCAGGTTGTTTTCACATCTAGTAGTGATCTAGTAATAGCTAAATGCATTTCATCAGTTTTCTCTCACATCTGTAATCGGGCTGTTTTTTTCAGCTACTTAGATGCTATAATTAGATTCTGGTCCACGAGTGGGGAAAAAAAGCTTCATCTTTCAGGTTAGACATCCTCTTTACTGGGTATTGACAGCAAACTTCAAAAACACCAAGTCCCTAAGTTGGAATTCATTATAAAATGTAAAAAAAAAAAACTGGCTCTTCCTGTTCAGTGACAGTTATTGAAAACTAAACCAGTTTTTAATTTACTTACACTTATAATGCAAAAAGTATTCACATCTATTAGATGGTAGCAAATCTTCTGTATTTTATGGGATTCTTAATACATTTGTAAATATCCTATATTTCATGTATATATCAATATTTTAGATTAAATAAGATTGTGGAGCTTTTCAAAGCAATGAGATTAAAATGCCATAACTGCAAACCCAGCTGGAAATTAATACTGACCTACATCAACAGGCTGGGGAAGGAGAGCGTTACTTTGAAAAGTACCAAAGAGGCCCGTATAAACTAGTCAAATCCTTTGGTCCAGATTAAAAGCTTGCCTTTTGTTTTAATTAGTTTGGTTTAATTAGTTTCACACGCTGTACTTTTTGTAAGAGAATGATATCATGTAAACAAAGCTACACTACAGAAAACAATTATTGCTTTCATTCGAACAACAATCACACAGCAATGACCTGGAAATGGAGGAAAACAATTATAGCGAGCTGCATTTCTGTTCCGCATACTTGTGCTGTTATTTTAGCTGCAGAATAATTTTGAAAGTAAAGAGCGGCTCATTCCATCTCCTATGGCGTCTGCAAGGTAAAGGAAGGGCCCCTCCCATGTGCCAGCAGGCTGGCATTAGTTTTTGACTTAAACGTTCACTATTGTTGGCGTTTATGCTTCCTGTAGTTTGGTTGAGGCCGGTAGATATTAGTTCTAGAAGGGAACTGCTTCATTTTACCTGGAAACACCCTGAGACCGATGCAAAGGGTGGATCTTTGGGTTCATTTCAGTATTTTCTCACCTTTACAAGGCAGGAGACTGACTCTGGTTAGTTTAACCCAGACATGCAGGTATGAACTAGCCTGACGTAGTCCGACTCAATTCTAGTCAGAATGAGTCTGATGCTGCTCCATAGAGCTGTGATTATGGGGCGTGTTTTGAACGAACTAGGAAAAAAAATGCTTCTGCACTCAATTGGATAGACCTACAACCAATAAGAGCAACGGAGTGCGTGACGTATGTTAAGCGACGCATAGTTGTTGTCCACAAAAATCAAAGCGTGCAGTTGCACGCCTAGAATAAGAAGATGAGCCTTGATCGCGTTTCTCTGTTCCTCTTTTAAAATTAATTTGCTGTCGATATCTTCTAGAACAGACCTAATAGCAGAATCTACTCACCTCAACTCTCCAGCGGCAGCCATTGTTGTTGTCACCCAAGCGTGCTTTGGTCACGTGGTTGATTACGTTACTGTTGATCATCTGTCCATCATCGTATAAAGCCCGCCCTGACAATTTGATTGGCCCGACCAGATATTGTGCTAGCATACTCGTGCTACTATTGAGCAATGCCAGACCGAACTTCCCGACCTCAAACGTTGTGGGCGGGACTAAGTTCGGAATGGCACCCAGGTTAAGTATGAACACCATCTGACTCTGGAGGAGCTGCAGAGACCAGAGCTCAACTTGGGGAGGTTGTTGAAGGAACAGCCCTTAGTGTTGCCTTTTTATGCACAATCTGACTTTGTGGTAAAGAAAACCAGTGTTGACAGAAAGCCATATGAAGTCTTATATTAATTATAGCTTGTTTCATGTCTATCTGACAAGAAAAAAGTAAAAAAAAAAGTAAACAATTGAAATAATTTTTCATCTAATTTCCTTTTTTTGTCCTCAAGCCGAGAAAAACTGTGGATATGTATGGAATACTGTGGAGGAGGATCTCTGCAGGACATCTATCACGGTAAGCCGCTTGTTTAAGTCTGAAATCATTTTCAAGCTCTACTTTCTGAACTCTATCAAATCTGAATAACCTGCTGTTGTTACAGTAACGGGGCCTCTGTCCGAGCTTCAGATTGCATATGTCTGCAGGGAGACCTTACAGGTTAATATGATCACAATGCATTTCATGAATTCTGCAGTGTATTGTTATCTAGATAAGTTTTAGCTAAATGTTTTAACTTCCTTTACAGGGTTTGGGATATCTGCACATGAAGGGAAAGATGCATCGTGATATTAAGGTATCTTCACTTTAATTTTTTATCCATTAACAATGAAGACTGTTACTGTTTGGCAGCAAATAACAGAATAGAATACAAATATTTAAGCAAGTTCAGTGACGGTGGTTCAGAGTCGTAGAAGCAGCAGTACTGCTTATTTAAGAAGGTAAACATCTGCAGATGCATGTGTTGCTAAAGCAGCCCAGGGGCCCCATTCTCTTCACACCTTAGCAGGGGTGTTATATTTAAAAGGATGTGGCCTGTGCAGCAAAAGGCAGTAGTTTTAGGTTTCATAAAAGCTCAAAATGCTGAAGCCTCACTCTAATGTGTTATCATAAAGGTCAGGGCTGGCCCTATTATCTTTTCTCAGCTCTATGCAGCAAACGCTTCCTGTTTCCTCTACTCTCACCACAGGATGCTACCACAGAGACTGTCAGTCACAGCCAACACAAACAATGCCAGAAGCTGTGATAGTGGTTTAATTTTAATAGAACTTAGACCAGATATCAGCAGGTCTGGGGGGGTTTGTTTCAATCATTTTAACTGAGAGTGGCAGAGCTTTCTTTGTTTTTAAGTTATAAAAAGGTGTTTTTGGGATTTGTCAACAGGGAGCGAACATACTCCTAACGGACAATGGAGACGTGAAGTTAGGTAAGATGTTTGCCGCTGAATTTGTCCTGCTTAGAGCCTAAAATCTTTAGTTGCTTTAATTAGCATGTTTCTGATCTTCGTTACAGCTGACTTTGGAGTTGCTGCCAAAATTACAGCTACCATTGCAAAAAGAAAGTCGTTCATTGGAACGCCTTACTGGTGAGCAATTCCTTTAATGGGACCCAGTCTGGTGATGAAGGTGGTGACAGAGATGCTACAGGATCAGTTCCCGTTTGCATTATTCCAGATCGACACCTTGAAATATTACATCAGAGTGCAATAATGCCATTTATTTCTCACGATCTTAATATTTTGTTCTCGGCTGTAAATCGTGTCTAATGCTCAGTCTGATCTTTGTTTAGGATGGCTCCTGAGGTAGCAGCAGTTGAGAAGAATGGAGGCTACAACCAGCTGTGTGATATCTGGGCTGTGGGCATCACGTCCATCGAGCTCGCTGAGCTGCAGCCTCCAATGTTTGACCTGCATCCGATGAGGTATGGTTTACTTACACCAAGAACGATCAGTCACCGTTTCCCCTAGTCATTCCTGGCTGGCTTCCTGCTTTTGTTTTTCTTTGAGTGTTTCTTCACATCTTGGTGACTTGTGAGGCTATCCTGTTATAATATAGCAGATTTAGGGGATGAATGGAACTTACTCCGTCTCCTTTCATTCATTTTTGGCACCTTCCTTTTGACTTATTTCTTTGTTCTATTTAGGGCCTTGTTTTTGATGTCCAAGAGCAGTTTCCAGCCTCCTAAGCTAAAAGACAAAAACAAATGGTTGGTATCTGAGAACAATATGCGTTGTGTCAAGGTTATTGTCATATTAAACCCATATCAAATTCTCACAAACTATTACTAGGATGTGCTTTTTCTACTCAAACAATGACCTTTGTTCCTTACAGGTCTGCTGCTTTCCATAACTTTGTGAAAGTCTCTCTAACAAAGAACCCAAAGAAGCGGCCGACTGCAGAGAAACTTTTACTGGTAAGCTGGTGAAGATTCTCCGTCATCCAGGTCATAGTCATTGCAAAAACGTTTAAAAAAACAATCCACTGGACTTTGTTACCAAGTTTGAAGACGTTTCCCTTCCCATCCAGGAAGCTTTTTCAGTTCAAAATGTCAGAAATGGCGTTGAGTTCAAGGCTTTATAGAGTGGAACAGAAAACAAAGCCTTGTTTTGGCTTTGAAAACATGTAAATTGAACCAGACGAATAGGCCCGCCCCTTTGGAATGGGGGTCGTTTCTTACCTTTGCTGATAAGAAGTGCTGCTCTGTATCTTCAGATTTATAGAAATTAGGGACCTGAACCTTTTTAGAACAGAACAAACTACTTGTTTTCTTATTGATAGAATAGAAGAGCAGAACTTAAAAAGTACCATTTGATTTATATTTCTAGCCTTTTTACTTTCTAATTAAAATGCACACCTCTTTACTTAGGTGTGCATTTTAATTAGAAAGTAGAGATGCTATAATAACGATGTTGCTGAGTTTAGCAATATTATAACTGTATCTATTGCTGTTTGTTTTGCTAGCATGTCTTTGTGGCTCAGACTGGGTTGACAAGGAGGCTTGCAGTTGATCTGCTTGATAAGATGAACAACCCAGACAACCACCAACATTTCAGTGAAGTGGATGATGATGACATCGAGGTAATGTGGATTGTGTATCAGTAAAAATACGTTAAAGAAAAATTAGTTGTTTTTAGCAAACTAGGGAAAGACATTAAAGTTTGCTTAAAGGGCCTTTCAAAACTATATTATAGTTCAATCATAAAACTTAATATATTATCAAAGTGACAAATCAACCATAAATAGCACATTGGTGTAAAGTAGGAGGAAAATTATTATAATTTTTTTTGCCTTGCCTGCAAAACACAATTTGCATTGGAATTCACTATAAATCGCTTTGAGCGTCCTCTCCATGGTGAAACATGTAGATAGCATCATGATGTTTATTCACTTATAAGTTATTTAAATCAGAGCTTAAATGTTAGAAAGGCACAGTTGAAATGCCTCTGCCTCAGTCTTATTGAGAATGTAGAGTGGGAAAATTAAATGTTCACACATTATCTGCATTCAGTTTGCCGGAATTCTTAAGCTATACTGCAAAAGAAGGCAAAAAAAATTTGAAGATGTGCTCAAGACCACAAATGATATGAATCTGTAATACTATGTGGGACATTTGCATTGAAACCGACTAGCATGTTAACAGTTAAAATGTGTAGTAATACTTCTGCGACGCCTTCTAGATGACACACTTCAACTGTTTATCACTGATGAATGTTTATATTTACTGTAAGTCGTATTATTTGGTGGCTTGTATTTTATTGTGGTAGAAATAATAAAATTTATTAATAAAACAAACAAACTTCTGGTATATTTAAAATGAAAACTTGTATAAACAGACCTGAGACAGGCTTTCAGAGCATAATCTATAGATATTTAAAAATGTAAAGTACTTTTGCAACAAAAGATTTTTCCTAAAATCCCCTTGTGTTGTTTTTGTTCTCTTAAAACATCCCTGCCTGCAACTTATTGAATGACAGCAGTGACATTATAATTATTCCTACTGGGGGTCTGCATCACGTCTGTGGCAGCCAAAGAGGTGGTACCAGTACCATTTAAGCGAGCGTTGTTCTTTTCTCACCCTGACAGCAGCGCCACTGTCTGTGCCACGGCAAGTGGGGAAAAAACAAAAAACCTTAAGGCTACTGACTGCAAGCAATGGAGCTTGTGACAAACAAACAGCCTCTGGGATGCATATTAATGTGATGATGCACACAAAAAGCAGCTCTCAGCTGTTACTAACTTGCAAAGTTTCCGAAACATTTCAGATTATTTCTAAAGATCATTTCTCAAGCTTCCTAAGTGAATTCAGTTAGTTCTGTTTCAGTTTTGCATCACCCACCAAAGACTTTTTTTTTAAATGTCTTTCTTGCATTGTTTTGCAGCCTCTGTCCGTGGTCAGACACACCATCCGTTCCACCAACAAACACCCAAAGGTTGAGAGGACCCGCTCTGAGATCGACTGTAAGTGCACACAAAGCTAAAGAGCGCCTCTGTTCCTTGCGTCTGTGACATCACCGGTTATTGTGCGGGTTTTCTGACAGTCATCCCACTAATCTCGTGGCAGTACCTGGCATCTCTCCAGGCCACTGTTTTTGGTAGTGTGAATGGTGATAGTCTGGTAGAGAAGCCAGAGTCTATTCTGTAGCATTCTAGGTTGTGTTGTTTTAAAGTCATCCCTCATCCTTTACTAAGAGAAAATAGAGCTTGTCTGAAGGGTCCTGAAGGTTTCCAGTGGCATTAAGTTTCAGATCTACATACTTGGCAGGTGATTTTATTTAATTGCACCATGTTAATGTTTTGACACCCTTCAGAGAAGTTGGATTGTTGCGTCGTGCTAGATAAAGCAGATCTCTGTCTCACTATCAGCAGGTTTCAACCATTAATCACGTCATGGTGGTCATGTAGCGATGGAGAGATGTCTGTCACATTTATTTGTCCGTGCTCATACCCATCTACCTTTTTTACATGTTTGTACTCTGATTATTGCACTAGGTCCACATCCTGTTTGTTTTTTTTATCTTAATGTCTCCCTGTTATCTGACCTTTTCCTCCTGCGTGAAGCAAACAATGGATCAGGCCTCGAGCGTCCAATCTCAGGTCCTAGTGACTCTGAGGGACACAGGGGGGATGCAGGTTAGTGGCAGTGCAGTGAGACGCCGTGTTTTGGTTCCCGTTTTTGCTGCCAAGACTTGTTATGATACTGTGCATACCCAGAAAATGACACACCAGAGCTTTAGGTTTAAATTTAGGCAACACTGAGACCAGTTTGCTGCATGGAATGCTGCCTCAATGTTACCCTGTCTTGATGAAGGATAAGTTGTTCAACTCTGTGAGTCCATTATGTCAGACTGACTGAACCACCATTACTTTGGTGATGACTAATAAAACACTTACTGGAACGTTCAGTTTCACTCGCACGTCACATCTGATCCCTCCGCTTTAATTGATGTAACGCTAGAATGCTCCACCTAGACAGAGATCCAAGGCAGTGTGAGCACAGCTCTGAAAAGAAAGCAGATAGTATTAAATGTGATAAAAAGTGAAGCACAGCGTTACCTGAGGCATATTGCCTCAACAGCCTTAAGGCAAAGACAATGGCTGAATGTCCACCCTAATAACTATTAGGGGTGTAAATCACACCCATCATGACGATTCGATTCAGTAACGGTTTCCGGACCAATCGATTTGATTATTTTCGATACTCATGAATACACAACGATACGATTTGATTAATTGGTTCATTTTTTTTATTTTTTTTTACCTTAAAGGCTAGACAATGTTTCAAAATTGAAATAAATCAATGAAAGCTGTAATTGTGCATCAAAAAGTACTGCACAGAATCAGTGCAATGAGTGAAATGCAAAACCTCGGCTCCAGACGTCCCGCCCCCTCCACAGACGCTCCGCTGCTCCTCTCCCACATTGTAGCTGACCGCAGACAGGAGGCCGGCTTGTTTTGTTTTTATGACCAAAATTGCAGAAAACAACTCGTGAAGTTTGACCCGCTAGAAGAGCGAGGTGCGTGAGAACGCTGGGACCCTTTTTCCACCTGGATCTCTGCTCTTTTTGGCCCTCATGTCCCTCCGTCGTCGGACTAAACTCGCCCCCACTTCCTCGCCGCCTCGGCCGTATCTAGACCCACAGCGTGTAGCGCAGACCACACTTCAATATTGAGCATAATTTAAAAATGTCTGCATCAAGCTCATTGCGACACACTGCTGTAAGAGTATAAGCAGGAAGCGAGGTAGGAGGGCAAGATAGGTTTAGCGCCACCGCAGCATGGGAGGAGAATTACGCCCAGGAGCAAATGGATAAAAATAGAGCGGAGGGGAAAAAAAACATGAATCGATTCTCTTGCGGACGTGTCGATGCATCGGATCGTCGGCTGTTTGATCGATGCATCGATACAAAACGATTATTATTTACAGCCCTAATAACTATATAGGCCACTATGTAGTGGTTACACCCTTTTAAATGAGTGTCAAAACATCTAGTGAATGAAAAGGTAGTGGACTCGAAATTTCCCACAATGCACCTTAAAAAGTATCGCTCGTCAATGGTCACTAGACGAGAAGATACATCCCAGAATGCTTTGCGAGGAGAGCTCTCCTCACAAGGCATTATGGGATTTGCCCTAAGAGGCCCGCTGTCCCTACCCGACAACGTGACAAATAACAAAGATGGCACAGGCACCGTGTAGGGAGGAGGAGTCATGTGATCAATGGGGAGCGAAAAGTAGTGATCATCTGTCCTCAGTTCACTATAAAGTTCACTACAGATCTAGCGGTTGGGGCAGACTTTCAGACACAGCCTATTAGCATTAGCTTTTTTATTGCTCCATCAAGTAAGCAAAGTTATTTCAAGGCAGTAACAGAAAAGTCAACATAAAAGCCAAAAAAGCAAAAAATAATAGCAGACAGTCTGGCTGGATGGGAGAGAAGTTGTCTGATGCCTTTTGCCGTTACAAATGGCGCATGAAAGAATGCTACACAAATATGACGGAGGAAACTTGAAGCATTTTCTTATTACATGTACAATCAGAATTTGCATAATTATTTTTAGCCCATGCCAGAACATTACCTTCATTGCAGTTTATTTTGTAGTTTAATAATCAAAGAGAGCTTTTACCAAGCTAAACATAAGCAAATTGTACAAATAAACAGCTGGTAGCTCCCCTAGATCACAGGCCTGTTTTTTATGACTCCATTTTCCGTTTCTAAGTATTTTGGGGTAAACCTTTCTAAATTGAATATTCCCCTCTTCCCTACTTTTCTTTGAACAAAATTCCCATTTCAGCTACACCTTCCTGAAAGTTGATGTAGAGACACAGCTGCTCCTGCAGGGAGGGGCTGGTTTACCGTTCACTGATTGGTCAATAGCTGAGCAGCCTTCAGGATTAATTGACAGGAGACGTCGCATCATCTGACCTTTTCGACTGTAACTTTTCTTAACAATCTGCAGCACTTTTGCATGATCAGGATGGCTCAACGAGGAAAAAACCATAATCCTCCACCCAACAATGTTTGATTTATACTGAACTATAAACCAGCCCCCCTTACTGGATTAGATATTTATTGTAGTTTAATCCAAAACCCAAAGTAAGAGGATTTGTTTTGACATTTCTTGGTTCGTTTTAAGTATTTCCAGTATTAATAGGTCCTTTGTGTTGAGTGTAAATATTTAATGACCAATTCAACTAAACCCTTTATACACAATCAGCAGTACTCTATGCATTAACATTTATTTGTGCTTAAAATAGTTTTTTATTAAGATTTGCTTATTAAAACACCTGGTTTGAGTGAGAGTTGTTGTTTGCCTTTAACTGTTAAGTGCTGATGCCCTCTGGTGTTAAAGGTTTTTGCTTGAAAGACAACTAAAAATGTGTTTCATTCACAGTTGACAAGGTCCAGTTTCAGGCACCTCTTCTCCCGAAAGAAACCGAAGCTCATGTTGAAATGGTAATAATTATAATTTGTTTATTACATATATAGATATTTTGTATACTTTAAATAGTTAGGCCTAAACCGGCTGTAAACAACGGTGATCTTCTGAACAATAATAAAAAATTTAAAGGGCAGCATTGAAGTGAACAAGGATTTTTTTCTCAATATAAACTTGGAAATATTCCCTGCAATTATTGACAAACTTAATAAAAATCAGAAAGTCCAAAATCAAGAGCAAACATTTGTAGCAACACAGCTACGAAATGTTTTTTATAGTGACTAAGCAGCCTTCTGCATGTTTCTGGTGGTAAAACATGTCTTTGGAGTGAGCTGAAGGCTATTGAGGTTGGAAAGCATCCTGTCCATCACCCTCATCTTCAGCTCATTCCACAGGTCCTCCATTAAAATAATGTCAGGCCTGTGGCTGGACCGCTCTAAAACACCGGCTTTAGGGTGTTGGTCAGACGATGCATGTAATTGGAGATAAAAAGTCTAAATCTGCCATTTACTGTACATTTAAATAAAAAAAAAACATTAAAGTTCTATTTTTATCCCTGCCTTCCTCTCCACAGGATGTGAATAAAGATAATGACTTCCCTTCCCCATGGAGCCCCTTTGCAGATGGAGGAATAACAACCAGGTACTCTATGGAAACCGTAGTCATGGGAACTGCTCCTAATAACCCTCTCTCTCTTTTACTACCTGGCTTTTATCATTTAATGCATCTTAGAAGGCTAATTCACATAAATGGATGAAGCGCATGTTTTATTTATTTGTTTCTACACTACTAATCTGCAGAGATATCAGTAATTTAGTGCCAATTAAAGCCCCCCCACCCCTCACAATAACCTGCTCAGTCACTGAATCCAAAGTTTGATAGAAAAAAGCTTTCTCTCCTTGTCTGGAGTCCAGCATGTTGTTGGGCTTTTAAGCTCAGTCTCACTTGTCCATCTACTTTGACTTTTGTTGTTTTTTTCCCCCTCCACTTTTCTCTGTCTTCCTTTTGCCGTCTGCCTCCTTGTTGTCCCTTAAAGGAGCCTTCTCAAAAGCGTTGAGGATGAATTGTTCCAACGGTAACACTAACACTGTGTGTTTTAGTCCGTCATACCAGCCCCTTACTGCTTTGCTCTGTCACTTCCCTTTTTGCTTCAGCCTTGAACCCTCGGGGCCTCCATCTGTTTAGCATGTGTGATGTGATTATGATGTAGATAGTGGGATGTATTATTAAATATTCCTTCACATGGTTACTGTTTCTGGCTAAATACTCCAACCTTTACATTTTATGCATGCAAATTTCAGTGTCTTTAGATTAGATTATTTTTTAAATTTTTTTTTAGTTTTTGCAGCACTAGTAGTTCGCTCTTCCAACAGGAAAGCGGGTATAAGAGAGAGACATGCAGCTAACGATTCGAACCTGGGTCGGCTGCGTCGAGGACTCAGTCCTCCGTACATAGGTCGTGCACGCTAACCGCTGTACCACCTGCACGCCTTAGATTTTTATGATCAAAGAGTAAAGCAAAGTATTCCATAATTAGGAAGGTGTGTGTATATGAAGCTTAATTTTATTGAATAAAACTCTGAAAAGTGTTTCATGCATATGTATCAGTTCCCCAAGCTCCCATCTTATTATTTTTCACATCTGAAAGAAGAAGGCTTCACCCATTTTATTTGTTCAACACTTCCTGCTCAGTCATTGCTGAAGCAGAGCCTCTGTGATCAGCATTAATTCTAGTTTTCCTATCAGACTATCAGTTGAGTTTAGGTGTAAACTATGATTGGTGGATTTAACAGCAGCGTTTGGTGTTGGAGGTCTGCCAGCCTCTAACAAGATTTCCCAGTATTTAGCTCCATGTGTCTTGTCAATGACATACTATTTCATAATGCTGCCACCACCATGCTGCACCATAGGGATGATATTTTTGTCATCAGTTTTTAACTATACAGCTTTTTTTGCATATAAGTGGAAAAGTTCAGCTTTGTTTTTGTGTTGCCTGAGCACTTTCCTGACGGTATTTTGATTGTTGGCTTCTAATGGCTTTCTTTCAGCTATTGCTCTATTTTTGCCACTTTTCTATAAATATCTGAGCTGTGAATCTGCAGCTCCTCCAGAGGAACCACAGCCTCCTCTGCTGCTCTGATTGTTGCTTTCCTTCCCAGTCTTTCAGTATGGATAGACACTTATTTAGGTAGTGATGAATCTGCAATCTGATGAACCTCTGAGGCGATGAAAGAACTGCTGGATCCATATTCATCTAGTTACAATGAAGGGGGCTATATACAGATGCACGTCACTCTTCAGATTTTTATTTATAGAATATTTGCAAAACTCCACATCTTCCTATGTTTTATTTTGTCTGTCATATTAAATCACAATACAATTCAGTGAAAAAATGGAGTAGTTCAAGCTCCTTTGCATCAAACTGTTCTTATTAGAACAGAGTCCAGATATGATGAAGAATATGACTTCAGTCCAAGGATTATTGTTATACAAGTTTTTCTTTTTGTTGGTGTTTTGTTTGTAAAGAAACATCTGCCCATTTAATATTTTATCACAGCCTACAGTTACCCATTTCACACTGATGATTGCTTTTATCATCCACAGTGGACACATCGCCCATCTGGAAGATGCCACTGAAGAAGTTGAGCTGTAAGTTTCGTACGTAGATTGAGATGTTTGTGTTCATACACAGCAAAACAATTTCCGTAGTAAACATTTTGTTCCGTCCAAAAATCGTTTTCAGGTCGACGCTTAAACCAGGTGTACCTCCTCCTCTCCCTCCAAAGGTAAACCTTGCTGTCCAACATTTTTCACTGCTTCCCTGTTATTCTCTGGTTTGTTCTGTGAAAAAAGTTTTTTTGTTTTGTTTCTTTCCTAAGCCACGAATAAACACATCATCTGAGGAGCTTGGACTGAACGAGGAGAGGTCTCTGACAGTTCGTAGGTTCCCAAACTCTGAAAACGGACCGAGCCAGGCCATCCGCAGACAGAGCACACCTGATCAGGGCCACAAGGTGGAGCATTCGTCATCTGACTTCCTGTCGGCGAGCGTCAGCAGCCCTGGCTTCTTATCGCATGCCTCTGACCCTGGTGAGTCCATTTTTACCCTTTTGACTGTTACGGGTTCTGTTTAGTGCTTCGTAGTACTCTTCAATTAGTTTGGTCTCTAAATGTAATCTTACTCCATCTTTACAAGCTCCAATTAAATGTGAGTATAAAGGTAAGGGAGTCTGCTATTAACTGCCTTAAATGTAGAAAGTGTACTTATTCTGGTTTAATATTAACGCCTCCTTCTGTGTGACAGATTATGATTCAGATGGAAGCGTAAATGGAGGAAGTCCTACGCCAACGCCACACCGTAAGGAGAAAAAGGAGTTCCCGGTGAGTTGTAGATCATTTGCTTCTTATTGGATTGATTTTGTTTGATTGTTTTCCTTCTTTATTTTGATCCTTTGTTCATCATCCCATTTTTTTATTTTTTATTTCCTGCCTTCCTTTGCTCATGCCTACTTCTTTTCTTCCGTTTTTTTGTATCCTTCTGCCTTTTCCATCTTGTTTTCTTCTGTCCTTTTGTCCCTTCTGCCTTCTTTATGTCTCTTCTTCTTTGATCGTCTTTATTCCTTCTTGACTTTATTTCGTGTCCTGTCTCAATGTCTGCCTTTTGTTCATCTGTTTCTTTCTTTCTACATTGCCTTTTTGGTTATCTATCTTTTTAGGGTATTTTCTTTTTTGCTTTCTACCCAATCTATCTTATCTTGATTTTTCTCTGTCCTATTTGTTACGTTCCTTGTACTAATCTTTCTTTACTTGCACTATGTCCATAATTTTTCTAAGTTTTGCAGCATTTCCACTGTAAAATAGAGAGAATCTCACAAGTTTCCAGAATCATGTTAAAACACTAGGTTCATGTGGGGTTAAAAAGGTTGAGACTGTAATAAAAAATTGAAAGCTTAATCACAAAAGAATGTGATATTTCTGTTCCTATATTTAATCTAAAAATGTTAAATGGGAAAATGAAAATAAATGAAAAATTAAAACTGCAAACATTTTCCAAATGAATTAATTCTTTTTAAATTCTATAAAAACTGTGGCTTTCGCTACAGGATTCAAAGGGTTGAATAGAATAGAATGAGGATTTATTGTCCTATAGTGTAGAAATTGGGCTGTTAGAGCAGCAGGCAAGGAAACAGCTTGTAAACAGATGCGTTATTATGAAAAACAGCATCCTCAGATTAAATAGAATGTGAAGCAAATTCACATGTATATTTTTCATAAGGGGCAGCAACTACGTGTTAACAGAATATGAAAGACACTCTGGAATTTAACATCAGGAATTTAAGCAACTATAGTTTGTTGTGTTGTAAAGTCTAACAGCTGCTGGGGGGGGTATCTACGATGATGCTCCATAGTGCATCTAGGGTGCAGCAGTCTTTCATTAAAGCTGCCCTCCGGCTCGCCGTGGCCTTCACGCATATTCAGAAAAAGTTAGACAAATTAGTTTATTTCTGATTCTTCATTTACTGTAATTAGTGAAAACAACACAAAACAGAACTCTTAATCACAAAAATTAGTAAAATACGTTTTTTTAATCAGGTAATAGTCTGAAGTTTTTTTTAAATACTTGTAGAGAGGATTTCCAGCTTTACACATTTATTTATTTATTTTTTTATAGATTTGTAATATTTTCAGACTGTGTAGAGTCAGAAAATTTGAATCTAGAAAAATATAAGATGCATAGAAACGGTTTAAGAACCCTAAAGTTAGCTGGCTTTACGTGCTCTTAAAACTCCTCCTTTTTGTTTTTAATCAGATCCAATTCCTCACTTTGACAACTTGGCTTCTAGTCCTGATTATTGTGCTTCAAATCTATTCCCACTGCTATTATTTTAATTCCTTATTAGTTGAAGCCAAAGCGTAACTATATCTTCCCAATTGTCTTCAGCAGATCTTATCTTATTGTTTCCTCTGCTCCTTCCTAGAAACCAGCAATAAACGGTCTGCCACCCACTCCTAAAGTACTGGTGAGTCAATCATCTTCTTTGTCCTTCACACTCTCTGCTCATCCATGCTGGCCTGCTTTTATTAAACTCTCATTTTTGTTGCTGCTGTGCATTCTGTAGATATCTGGCCTCCACATAACTCTCTGCCTTGTGGTTCAGCTCCACTTAGGCTCATTAATTCCTTGCTGACATTTTGGCGCTTTCTGAACCAGATGCTTCTTGTTTTGAGCTGCCGGCTTTCTGTTGCAGATGGGAGCCTGTTTCTCTAAAGTGTTTGATGGCTGTCCGCTGAAAATCAACTGTGCCACGTCTTGGATTCATCCAGACACTAAAGGTAAACGGTACATTCTGCAAATTAAGTATTGTTGTTAAATTCTTTAGTTAAATTTCGATTGATTGCTTTCGTTTTAGATCAGTACCTAATCTTTGGAACAGAGGATGGCATCTACACACTAAATCTTAATGAGCTGCATGAGGCAACAATGGAGCAGGTAACATTGACTAAAATCCAGCTTTTTTCTGTGCATTAAAAACAGCTTTAATAGTTTTTTTAAACTATTTCTATATTATTGAATGCCTTTCTGTTCAGCGATGTAGTGATTATTATTTATATTTTACCTAAACTAATGTTTGTCCAGTTCCTGTCTACTTTGTTATGAGATGGCTTAGTTGAGCAACTCTTTGTACTGTGCTGATGTGATTTCCATGAGCTGGAAAATAACACGGTGTACGATTAGGGGTTAAATGTTTCCAGATGACTCGACTCAAAACGCGTATCAGGAAGAAAAAGATGGAAGCATGTAGAAATAGTTTCCAAATCTGGTGACGGTCCAGTCAGACCAGATATTTTTATTTGACTGTTTAGGCTTTAAACTTTTAAAACAAATCTCTTATTTTATGAAAACGTGTTTTATTTTTAACAAGATTAGATATTTAAATGAAGAAATTGTTTATTTTGTATAAATAATGTTTGAGGTACCTCAGCAAACGTAAAAGAATGTCAGAAGCTTCAGCTTTTAAGTCAAATTCATTTTCTTATCTACTATCAGGTCTTGTAAAAGTATTCAACCACAAACTTCAGGATTTTATGCTATGGATGGAGTAGTGCCTCATGTTGAAGTGGAAGAAAATTAATACAATTGTGAAAATTCTGAGCTATTGGGGCCTTAATGTGGTCTCGTAATTATGATAAATAGCAAAAACCGAAATCAAAATTGCCCATGAAAAACTACCGTAATTTTCAGACTATTAGCCGCACCTGAATATGAGCCGCAGAAGCTAAATTGCATGATTTGCACAAATACAAGCCGCACCGGACTATAAGCCGCAGGTTTTTTATGTTTAATTACCTAACCCCAGGCTCACACCGACTCCGGTCTTACCGTTGCGGTGCGGTGGGTGCGGCGCCGCAGTGATTCCAAGTCATTAAAAAGACGTAAACCTCTCTCACCGGCTGCTGAGCTGTCCGGCTGCGGTTACCAAGACACTCCGGCGCTGCCGAAAATTCCGCAAGAAAGCTATCCTTGCGGCGTGCCGGAGCCCTCCGCAACAAGCTCTCGCAAATATCCTTATTTGGGCCGTGTTATCGCGTGAAGTTACGTGAACTCAAGTGAACTTCTGTTAAATCTCCGGACCTGTTGCCGGAGCCGCAGAGCCGCACCGCACCGTAGTCAAAAGGGCGGTGTGAGAGGGGGTGTGCGGGAGTTGCGGTCTCCGTCGGCTCGGTAACCGCACCGGAGCCAGTGTGAGCAAGGGGTTATGGTTCGTGCACAGAGAGGATTGTCGGGAAACAGGCAACTGTTTGGGGGAAGCTCCTGTTTATTAACATTTCAACACAATTGAATTGAGACAATTTTTCCTGCTGGCGTCTCCAACGTCTCACCATTGATTCCAAGGTTACGTGCAGCGGTTCTATTTCCTTCGTTTACTGCCAAATTGACTGCTTTTAACTTAAAAGCTGCATCATTTGCATTTCAACGTTTGTTTTCCATAATGAGGGTGTCACACAAACTGTCTCTGAGTCTGCTTCCAGAGGATGTCCTCATTCCCGCGCGCGGCTACTTGTGTGTTGAAGCAAATGTGACATCAACATGGTGGATGGTAAAATCCATAGATTTAGGTACCGTATTACCCTAATGGCCATTAGCTGTAAAAGTCCATAGATAAGCCGCGTTATTATATAAGCTGCAAGGTTGAAAAATAAAGAAAAAGTCTGGGCTTATAGTCTGAAAATTGCGGTACTTGTATTGTGATTTCCACTGGAAATAATGTATGATACCCGAGCTGCTGAGATGAGGTACTTTGACCTTTCAACATGGTGGATTGCTGCGAAACGATTCCGTGTGGTAAATACTTAATTGTTAAACGTCCTCTCCCGTTGTTTTTAGCCTCTACAATGCATTGAGATACATTTAGAATAGAAATATTGGCATTTAAAATTGTTTCATTTGATGATATGAAATTCTCACTAGCAGTCAGTCATTGCATCTGCAAAACTAAATGTTTACATTTTATCAGGCCTCAAGGTAAGTACTTTTTGAAGGGATCAAGTATTCACAGCAAACTGGATTAAATGTGACCCCCCAACATCACAGCTACTCCCTTCACCTCTCTGATAGGTGGCCGACAAAAATAAACTTTCTAGACATCGCTTCTTTTATTTTTGTCAGTCTAGAAGGTAACTGGTCTAACGAAACCATCGCAGGTATTATGCTTTCTGCCTTGTAGTCGAGTGTAGCCAACGTGCGCGTGTGGAGTCAGTGTGTCTACAAATGAATGCACTTTGACCCAAAGCATTCATGGTTACTGTCAAGCTGTGAGGTAAAACTCCACCCAGGCTTAGATTTTAAAGGATTGCTTTGAAATTAGATTAATTTATATTCACTGATCATTTTCCTATCCATGCTTTTTCACTATGAATACTGATCTAAAGTGCTATATTTTTAAATTCACTCAACTGGTGCAGATTTCCTCTATCGCTCACTGTTTACAGCTAAAGGTCAACTCCATACTTACATACACTGATTACATGATTTCGTTTTCTTGTTAGCTTTTCCCAAGGAAGTGCACATGGCTGTATGTTATCAACAACAACCTGATGTCCCTGTCTGGTAAGCAAAGCACCCATTACTCCTACTTGACAGGCCTCTGTTATAACCAGCTTTGTCTTTGTCCTGTGTTATCTGGCTGCACCTGAAGGCATCACAGTCACTCTATATCTGCAGGCCTAAAATATCTGATTCTGCTGTTTGCCGTAAGGGTCACTATGCGAGCTGTGGTAGAACAGTAAGATAGAAGAAACACAAATCCTACAAGCTGGTTAAGTTTGTGAAGAATAAACGCATAAAGCAGTTTCTGTTGTTTTTGCTTCACAGTGTTATACTATCAGTAAAACCAAGTCTAGTTTGTTTTTTAAGACGGGAATGCTGTGTTTCAGCTTACATTTGAAACCAAAGCGTGTGCATCTGGCTTTCCTAAGAGCCTATCCTTTGCTCGGTTTAACAGCCGAGGATGGGATTACATGGTGTTAGGTCTACTTGCGGTTTTACCTTTAGCAGTTTGCTCCTGGGTATGCTTAACCTCTGTTCTCTTCTCCTCTTCCCTTGGACTCTATCCATCCTCCTATCGCCTGGCTTGATTTGATATTCTACTAACTGGCTTCATCAGAAGGTAATCATTCCTCACATCACCACCATCATCATCATCAACACCACCTCTGTTTTTACCCTCTGTTCACATCTAACCTCCCTGTAGGAAAAGCCTGATTGTCACAATGACAAATGTTTCAAAATGATACCTGCAATAAATCTTGTCCTTTTTGCTCCTATTCTATATGGAAAAGCTACTCTGCTTGTTCCATGATGGTAACGTCAGGGTTTGCTGTGTTTTAGGGAGATCTTTCCAGCTGTATTCTCACAATCTGATCGGGCAGTTCGAGCAGCTGAAGAAGCCTGGCCTCGCGGCCCAGTTTCAGACGCACCGCTTCCCAGACAAAATTTTGCCCAGGTGAGATCTTCATCTATGGAACCCTTTTCTCTTTAGGACAACATCTAATTATTCATCAGTTATTTTTTTTTTTTTACCCTGTTTACTAATGAAATAAATTAAAATCCTAAGATTTGAATGCTCAAATGTGTCCATCTATAGGCGTATCTCAATAAATTGGAGAATTGTTGAAATTAATTCAGTGTTTGAACTGAAATTAATGAATATTAGATCTTACAGTGGGTACAGAAAGTATTAAGACCCCTTTAAATTTTACTTTGTTTCATTGCATCCATTTGCTAAAATAAAAAAAGCTCCTTTTATTTCTCATTAATTACACTCAACACCCCCAAGAAAAACTAAAATATCAAACGGTCATAAGTATTCAGACCCTTTGCTGTGACGCTCGTATTTAACTTACATGCCGTCCATTTCTTCTGATCTTTCATTTTAAGTCCAGCTGTGTTTAATTAAACTGATTGGACTTGATTAGGAAAGGCGCACACCTGTCTATATAAGACCTTCCAGCTCACAGTGCATCTCAGAGCAAACGAGAATCATGAGGTGGAAGGAACTGCCCAAGCAGCGCAGAGACAGAAGTGGGGCAAAGCACAGATCCAGCCAAGGTTACAAATGAATTTCAGCAGCACTCAATGTTCCTAAGAGCACAGTGGCCTCCATAATCCTTAAATGGAAGAAGTTTGGGAGACCAGAACTCTTCCTAGACCTGGCCGGCCAGCCAAACCGAGCAGTCGTTGGAGAAGAGCCTTGATGAGAGAGGTAAAGAAGAACCCAAAGATCACTGAGCTCTAGAGATGCAGTAGGGAGATGGGAGAAAGTTCCACAAAGTCATCTATCACTGCAGCCCTCCACCAGTTGGGGCTCTATGACAGAGTGGCTCGACGGAAGCCTGTCCTCAGTGCAAGACCTATGAAAGCCTGCATAAAGATTGCCAAAAAACACATGAAAGACTCCCAGAATATAAGAAAGAAGATTCTCTGGTCTGATAAGACTAAGATTAAACCTTTTGGTGTTAATTCTAAGTGGTATGTATGGATAAAACCAGCAGTGAAGCATGGTGTTGGCAGCATCATGCTTTGGGGATGTTTTTCAGCTGCAGGGACAGGAAAACTGTTTGCAATTGAAGGAAAGATGAATGCGGCAAAGTACAGAGATATTCTGGAAGAAAACTTCATCCAGAGCGCTCTGGTGCTCAGACTGGGCCAAAGGTTCACCTTCCAACAAGACAATGACCCTAAGCACACAGCTAAAGCAAGAAAGGAGTCGCTTGGAAACAATTCTGTGACCATTCTTTACTGGCCCAGCCAGAGCCCTGACCTAAAGCTTAAGCATCTCTGGAGAGACCTGAAAATGGCTTTCCACCAACGCTCACCATCCAACCTGACAGAACTGGAGAGGATCTGCAAGGAAAAGGGCAAAGGATCCCCAAATCCAGGTGTGAAAAACTTGTTGCATCATTCCCATAAGGGTGCTTGAACTCAATGCTGAGCAAAGGGTCTGAATACTTATGAAGATGTGATATTTCCATTTTTCTTTTTTAGTAAATTCTGTCAAGATGGGATGCTGAGTGGACATTAAAGGAATAGTACACCCAAAACATGATTAGCCTTCATTTTCTACTCACCCCCATGCTGAACAACACTCTGCAGTACTTTTTTGATATCTCAAATGCATCTGGAGATCTGGGAGGCTTCTTGCTGTCTGCTGACATTCAAATAATGGAGGTCTATGG